GCCGCCCCACAGCCCTTCCTGCCTTTGGGTCTGAAGCCCCCTCTCTGTGGGCAGAGGAGACCCCTGGAGCAGTGTCTCCTGCACAGTTTGTTTCAAGTTCAAGTTTCAAGTTTATTGCATTTATATCCCGCCCTTCTCCTAGTGGACTGCACTAGTTTGAGGGTCCTCCTGCTTCATGTCCTGGGTGGAGGACCCTGTCATGACCCGATGGTCCCCAACAGAGAGAGTCCTGTGCGAGTCTCCCATGTGGCCCCCAACTGGAACTCATCTGAGATTCCTCTCCCTCAAAAAAGGCCCTGAGTGGTCCTGTGCCCAATGGCCTTGATCTTTGGGAAGGTTGCACTGATGTCCATCTCCCTGGTCTGAGGGCTCCTGGGCAGGGGGTGTTGGGAAGGGTGTCTTCCCCAGGGCCTCTTTGGGCCAGAGGAGAAAGTCCACCTGAAGCCATTCCTGGTGTAGGAGACATTTGCCATCAGGGGTGAGGGAGAGCAGCTCTGCGGGAGAGAGGAAAGATCAAGGGGGCAACTCTGAGTGGAAGGCCCCTCCCTTCTCCCCAGCACCCCCAGATGCCCCTTGATAGCTCTCCCACTGAGCCTTGCCCCCTCCAGAGGTCATCCAGACTGCTTCTGCAGGATTCCCGTGGCTTCGATCTCCAAGGGCAGATTTTTTCCCTCTCATTCCTCATCTGGGGCACATGAAGAATAGGTCGGTGCAGGAACTGTCTCAAACACAGAGAAGACGTGGGCTCCTGTCAGTAATACCCACCCCCCTTGGAAGAGAGCGTGTGGGCACCTGGAAAAGGGACAACACCAAGTGTATCAATTGCAGAAAAAGAAATCAGAGCAGACTTCCTTAAGATAAACAAAGACCTGTGTTGGTGATTGAGGATTCATTGCTCAGAGGAACTGAACCAGCAATTTGTAGAATGGACAGTCAGACTGTTTCCCAGGAACAACTATCAAAGATGTGAGCGGGAGGCTTACTAAAAATAATCCACAGATTATTATTTCGTTCTCCTCTTCCAATATTTGAGGGGCTGCAACAAAGAAGAGGGAGCCAAGCTATTCTCCAAAGCCCCTGAAGGCAGGACAAGAAGCAACGGATGGAAATTTATTAAGGAGAGATCTGGATTTAAGGAGCAATTTCCTAACAGTGAGAACAATTAATCAGTGGAACTGCTTGCCTCCAGAAGTTGTGGTCGCTTCATCACTGGAGGCTTTTAAGAAGAGACTGGACAGCCATTTGTCTGAAGTGGCATAGGGTCTCCTGCATGGGCAGGGGGCTGGACTAGAGCAGGGCTTTTCAACCTTTTCACTCATTGTACCAATTTTAGGATATGGCAACATCCGAGTACCACCAGTCGCCTAGCAAGGTGTCAAAAACTTGATGACCAAAAAGAAAAAGAAAAGAAAAAAGTTATAAAGTACAGGTAGTCCTCGACTTACAACAGTTTGCTTAGTGACTGTTTGAAGTTACAATGGCACTGAAAAAAGTGCCCCCCAAGCCACAGCCGAGCAAGACATCTGCCTGCCCACCCGGCGATGCTCTTCCTCCTGTCCGAGGTTTTCATTTGTTGTGAGCATTTCTGTTGAGGATTGGCAGTGGGGGTGGGGTGGGGGGTGTTTGGTTTTTATTCCCCCCCCCCGTCTGCTGGGTGCTTACAGCAGGTTCTGGTCACTTCACATGACCCTGGGACACTGTGACCGTCATAAATATGAATCAGTTGCCAAGCATCTGAATGTAAATCACAAGACCCTGGAGATGCTGCAACATTCCAGCTGATCGGTGCTTCTTCAGGGCTCAGCAGAAGCGCCAGGATCAGCGCAGAGCTCCAGCTGGAGCCTGGCGCCGATCCTGGCGCTTCCACTGAGCCCTGACAGCCCTGCAGCTCCAGCCGTCTCTCGCTCAGGCTTGTGCGGTGCTGCCACTGGTTCAGCTCATTCCCCTCCCCCACTACCACTTTTCTAGGATGGTCACGTACCACCTGCCAGGTGCCAATGTACCACAGGTGGTACCCGTACCACTGGTTGAAAAGGCCTGGACTAGAGGACCTCCAAGGTCTCCTCCAGCTGTATTATTCTGTCACATTTTTGCAGAGCAGATTCTGGATGCTCCCCATTTGGGGTGTCTCCCCTGGGCACTGAAATCAAATGTGGAGAAACGCCAGGAGACTCCCAACCACTTTAATTCAAAGCCTTCGGGCCAAATCCTTCCTTAGAGACTGATCCATTTGCCCACTTTCTTTCCCTCCTTTTACTGCCTAGGAAAAAATGTCTCTTTTTGTTTATCATATGACCTCTCTAACTCTGTTTTACATTGTTTTTTTTTAATCCAATGTGCTTGCCATTTTTTGTGCTGGTTTGAAAATATGCTTTTTAAAATGGGAATTAACTAATTTGATTATTTCACCCATTTTGATCGGTCTGCCACAAGGTGAACGTATTTTGGAAGATGAAATCAAACACTTTATAAGAAGGGTAAAGAAGAAGAAGCTCCTTCTTTTGAGTCTCGTTTCTTGTTTCGGATACACTATTTTCTCTCTTCAAGAATGGTTTTTTGGATTATCTAGAGAGGAAAGGCTCCCTGTCAGCAGGTGAAAAACCTTCACCCACCAGGACTGATCTCAGCAACTATGCAAGGCCAGTCCAGGCTAGTCCTGGGATGAAGTGGACTGAAAATCCCAAGATCTCCCTCCCTCCCTCTCTTATCTCTATCATCTCTCTCTCTACATCTCTCTCTATTATCTCTCTATATCTTATCTATCTACCTATCTATCTCTATCATCTCTCTTTCTCTCATCTCTCTCTCTTTCCTTCCCTCCCTCTTTCCCTTTCCCTCCCTCCCTCCCTCCCTCCCACTCTCCCTCTCATCTCTATCATCTCTTTATGTCTATCTACGTCTCTCTCTATCTTGTCTGCCTGCCTGCCTGCCTGCCTGCCTGCCTGTCTCTCCCTATCTGTATCTTCTCTATCATTTCTCTATCATATCTATCTA